ACTCTCGCACTCTGGCAGTAAACCCTAAACCCTAAACCCCAAACCCTAAACCCTAAACCCTAAACCCTAAACCCTAGCTCGCAGGCTTAAGCTAGCGAATCCGTATCTCGGGAACCCCAAGCCCTCCGGAGCTGCTGCGGCGGCAGCGAGGCGCAGCGCGGGCGTGGGAATAAGTCCAAGGGTTTAGGGTTTAGGGTTTAGGGTTTAGGGTTTTGCAGGACGTGAAGTTTCAAGTGGGGGACTTTCTGGTGCTGTCGATAATTCGGAAGCAAAAAACTAATAAAAAACTGGCCCCACATCCAGACCCGAAGCTGCAGATGCAGGAGGGTTGGGAGTTTGCCCCGCGGCCTTCCGTGCTGCAGCAGCTGCCGCCGTTTGCTGCTGCTGCTGCTGCTGCTGCTGCTGGGGGCGCCGCCGCGCCCGCCGGCCCAGCCCCCATGGCCGTCGACGGCGAGCCTGCTGCTGCTGCTGCTGCAGCGACGCAGCACGGAGAAGACGCGCGGGACGCTGCTGCTGATGCTGCTGCGGGAAAGGCTGCTGCTGCTGCTGCTGCTGGAGAAGCAGCTGGGGACAAGGCAGCAGCAGCGGCCGATGCTGCTAACAAGGCAGCAGCAGCAGCAGCTGCTGCCGCAGACGATGAGGCCAGCAACAAGGCTGCTGCGCAGCAGCAGCAAGACGAAGATGTGGCGGAGGAGAAGCAGCAGCAGCACGAAGGAGAGCACCACCAAGAAAGGCAGCAGCAGCAGGAGCAGCAGCAAGAGCACGAGCAGCAGCAGGAGCAGCGGCAGCAAGAAGATAGCATGCAGGAAGTGCGGAGGTACGTCTGCCGAACCGGCTCCGCCTTCTGCGGCCAAACTCGCAGCAGCAGCAGCAGCAGCAGCAGCAGCAGCAGTAGCAGCTTTGCTACTGGTGTGAGATTTGTGCAGCGAGGGCCACGGTGAGCAGGAAGCAAGAGAAGAGTCCCGCAAGGACAGCAGCAAGAAGAGCAGCAGCAGCAAAAAAAGCAAAGCAGCAGCAGAAGACAGCAGCAGCAGCAGCAGCAGCAAGAAGTCCGAGGGGCCGGCGAAAGAAGAGACGACGAAAAGGCGCTCGGCGAGACTCGCCAAGGACAAAAAGTGAGGAGCAGCAGCAGCAACAGCCGCTGCTGCTACTGCAGCAACTGCTGCTGCAGCAGCAGCAAACGCGCAGGGGGAAAGGCTCCAGCAGCAAGAGCTGCTGCAGCCCAAGCACGAGCTGCAGCAGCAGCACTGTCTTGTCGGCCACTTTGAATTGCTGTCAACTTTGCAGCAGCAGCAACCTGTCCCGCGGAGCAGCTAAGGGCAGCAGCAAGCTGCAGCAGCTGCTGCAGCTGCTGCAGCTCTTGCTGCTGCTGCTGTAGTGCGCACGCCGCGTAGAGACCTGATGTTTTTCTCTAGGTTTTAAGTGCTGCTGTTTCTGCTGCTGCTGCTGCTGCTGCAGTTATTTCCGCTACTGCTGCAGCTGTTGCTGCTGCAGCTATTTCCGCTGCTGCTGCTGTAGCCGTCCGTGCTGCTGCTGCAGCTGTTTCTGGTGCCGATGTTGCAACTGTTCCAGCTGATGAAGCTGTTTTTGCTGCTGCAGCAGCAGATGTTTCTGCTGCTGCTGGCCATGGCTAGCTACGGCCAGTGACTAGCTAGCTAGCTACAGCTAGCTGCTGCTGCGGCGCAGCACTGAGGCAGAAGTGAAACGCTAAACCCTGAGGAAGCCGCTGCAACGGACAGCAGCAGAAAGGTTCCTGCTGCTGCTGCTGCTGCATTTATAGCTACTTGCTGTGCAGCAGAAGTCTTCGGATGGAGAGCCTGTTGCTGCTGCAGCAGCGTGGGGCTGCTGCAGCATCAGGCTGCTACTACAGCAGCAGGCTCTTGCTGCAATGGTCACAGGGTGCATTTCCTGCTGCTGCTGCAGCAAGGGGCTGCCGCAGCAACTGCTGCATCGGCGCAGCTCGTTGCTGCTGCTGCAGCAGGGAGTGTCGGGGTGAGCAGCCCTAGCTGCTAGGCGTCGGCGGTGCTGCTGCTGTTGCTGCTGCTGCTGCTTGCTGCTGCCTGTTGCTGCAGTCGCGTTGCGTCTCGTTAGAGCTACTGCTGTTGCTTTTCTGCCGCTTTGGGAAAGTTGTAGCTGGCTGCTCCCGAAACCCTAATTTAGGGTTTGGGGTCTGTGAGCGTCTTGCTAGCAAGCTACATACTCTACACCCTAGCAAACCCTAAACCCTACATCGGCAGCCGCAACGCCCCAGAGCTACAAGACAAGAAGCTCATAGCACACTTTATGCATTATTATGCCTAGGGCCTAAAGGCCTGATGAGGGTTTAGGGTTTAGGGTTTAGGGTTTAGGGTGTTGAGTCGTGCGCCAGCCGCGGGAAGTGTTGCGCAGCGCGGCAGCAGCCACAAGCCAGCAAAATTGCGCGGAGCAAGAAAAAAGAAGAAAATGAATAAACAAAAGGGAAGCAAAGATATAAATTGAACAAAAAGCAAATAAAAGGAAAATAATAGAAGAATGCAGCAGCAGCAGCTGCTGCTGCCGCTCAGCCAGCGGCTTCCCAGGGATAGGGCCAGCCAGTGCCTCTAGGGTTTCAGATTGAACATAAACCCTAAATCGTGGTTTAGGGTCTAAGGTTAGCGTTTAAGGCTGGTCGGCTACTCGATTAGTCGGCGGCGGCGTCGACTCTGGCTGCTGCTGCTGCTGCTGCTGCTGCTGCTGCTCCTGGTTTCGGCAGCAGCTCTTGACCGCTTGGGCACCGCAGAAGACTTGAGGGTCCTTGTCTATTTCCGCTTCTTTTTCTTTGCTTTTCGTTTGTGCTTGGCATCTTTTTGCTGCTTTTGCTGCTGCTGCTGCAGCGGCAGTAGCGGCAGCCGGAGCAGCGGCTGCAGCAGCAGCAACAGCAGCAGCCGCCGAGCCTAGGGACCACCTACGCGTGTCTGCGAACTGCAGGGGCCATTTCACTCCCCGAACGTCAGCAGCTGCAGCTGTAGCAGCAGCAGCAACAACAGCAGCAGCGATGCAGCGGCAACGCTAGCGCTCGCACGGGCGCTGCTCTAGGAGTCACAGCAGCAGCAGCAGCAACAACAGCAGCAACAAAGGCAGCAACACCGGCGGCAGCCGCGGCTGCTGCGGCTGCTGGAGTTGCAGCAACGGCGGCAAGGACAGTTGCGGCCGAAGCAGCAACTGCTGCATTCCCAAATCGTCGTCCGCAGCAGCAGCAGCAGCAGCAGCCACGCCAGCAGCAGCAGCAACAGCAGCAGCAGCATGTGGCGCATGGCGGCAGCAGTAGGAGGGGGGGCCCCTTCTGGGGGCCCCTCTAATGTGCCTGTGGCCCCCCTGACGCAGCGCCCTGGTGCTGCAGCAGCGGACTGCTCAGCAGCAGCGCTGCCGCTGCTGCAGCGAAACTTGCTGCTGCAGTGCAGCGGCGGGCACCGCAGAGGCGAGCTGCATGTGCTGCCCCACGGGACCCCCTTGGCGGAAGTTGTTGCTGCTGTTGCTGCTGCTGCTGCTGCGCCGCCAGCAGCCCAGCCAGACCAGAAGCAGCACGCGTCCTCCGGTGAGCCAAGACAGCAGCAGCAGCAGCAGCAACTGCAGCAGCAGCAGCAACCGCAGCAGCAGCAGCGGCAACCTCTGGGGAGAACAGCGAACGTTGAAGTCTCCAGTAGCTGGGACAGTCTATGAGGGTTGGATGCAGACGAAACGCCACCGCATGCAGCAGCAGCAGCAGCAGCAACAGCTGCAGCAGCAGCAACAGCCACCGCAGCCGCAACAGCAGCAGCAGCCGCAACAGCAGCAGCAGCAACTGCTGAAGCAGCAGCAGCAGGAGCAGCAGCAGCAAGAGCAGCAGCAACAGGAGCAGCAGCAGCAGCAAGGGAAGTGCCTGGAAGTTAGTTCTCCGGGTGTTCCTGCTTCTCCTTCGCAAGGAGATAAACATCAGCTGCAGGATTCGCAGCAGCAACAGCAGCAGCAGCTGCCCGAGGCAATGCAGCAGCAACAGCAGCAGCAGCTGCTGCAGCGTTTGCGGCAGACACTTGAGAGGTCGCGAAATCCGCAGCAGCAACAACAGCAGCAGCAGGAGCATCAGCAGCAGCAGAAAAAGGCATGCACTTCTTCAAGGGAGTCTTCTCCTCGTCAGAACAGCAGCAGCAATTTGCAGCACTTCATAGAGTGCAAAGTAGAGAGCCCGACTGCTGCTGCTGCTGCTGCTGCTGCTGCTGCTGCTGAAGGTGACAGTGAGGGCTCCTGCCTCGTGCAGCCACTGCCTGGCCGCCCAGTTTTTCGAGAGTCTCCTTTCCACTGCAGCGCAGCAGCAGCAGCAGCAATTGAGGATGAGCAGGGCGGGAAAGCAGCAACAGAAGCAGCAGCAGCAGCTGCTGCTGCTGCAGCTGCAGCAGAACCTGCCGCGGCTGCTGCCGCAGCAGCAGCAGTGAAAAGCGACAACGGTGCAGCAGAAGACGATAGCCGCGAAGCGGACTCCACAGACTCTGCAGCAGCAGCTGTTGCAGCAGCAGTACCAACAGCAGCAGCAGCTGCTGCTGCTGCTGCTGAGTCTGGCTCAGGAGCAGCAGCAGTAACAGCTGCACCCAGGAGTGAAGAGGCACAAAATATGCCTCATTCTTCTGCTGATGAACCCGCCACAGCCGCCACTGCTGCTGCAGCAGCAGCTGCTGCTGCTGCTGCTGCTGCTGTAGAGGAAAAGTCCCTCACAGGTGGCGAAGCACAGCAGCCACAGGCAGCTGAAGAAGCGGCTGCTAGGACGGCTGCAGCAGCAGTAGCAGCAGAAGTCGAAGCGGCAGCAGCAGCAGAAGCCGCTGACATTGTTGTAACAGCAGCAGAAGCTGCAGAGGTAGCAGCAGCCGGTGGAAACCCACAAGCAGCAGGAGCTGCTGCCGCTGCTGCTCCTGGTTACGCAGCAGGAGCTGCTGCTGCTGCTGCTGCTCCTACTCTTTCACCGACTCGCAGCACTTCGCTGCTGCATGCTGCAGCAGAGCCTTATGTGGGTGATGCTGCAGCGGCTTCTGCAGCACCAGCAGCAAAAGCAGCAGCAGCGGCACGGACAGCAGCAGCACCAGCAGCAGCAGCAGCAGCAGATGCCTCTCATTCTGCTGCTGCTCTGTCTGAGCCGCCGTCGCCTTCCGCCTTAGGCTCAACTGTTGCTGCTGCTGCATCAGCTCCACCCTCACCTGCTGCTGCAAAAGTAGCAGCAGCAGCAGCACAAGCAGCAGCAGCAAGCCCTGCAGCCGGCACTACAGCTTCGGCCTTCTGGTCTTTCGCTGCTGCTGCTGCTGCTGATGGAGCGAGGCCGCAACAGCCTTTTCCTTACCAGCGGCATCAGCAGCAGCCGCTGCAGCAGCAGCAGCAGCAGCAGCCGTCGCAGCCGCAGCCGCAGCCGCCGCAGCGGCGGTCACTTGCCAGGACGTTTTCTTCTTCCCTCCTTAGCAGCCGCATGTTGCCAGAGCAGCAGCAGCAGCAGGAGCAGCAGCAGCAGCAGCAGCAGCTATGCAGGACCGTGCATATGGCGGGGGGTTCTGCGGAAGCAGCAGCAGCAGCGGCCGCGGCAGGCGAGCCAGCCGCAGCAGGGCCGCATGATTTTAGAGCAGGCAGCAGCTTCCTCGCTGACACCTGCAGCAGGGAAGAGACCAGCAGCAGCAGCAGCAGCAGCAGCAGCACGAGCAAGCGGCAGCTGCGGAGAGCGTCGCTAGGCGTGCGTGAGTTGAGGAGGCGCGTGGGTCTTGACTGCAGCAGCAGCAGCGACAGCAGCAGCAGCAGCAGCAACGAGAGCAGCAGCGACGAGGAGGCTCGAGCAGCGAAGGGGAACAGCCGGAAGCCGTGGGCTGTGCGGCTGAAGCAGGCGCGGCTGCTGCTGCAGCAGCTGCAGCAGCAGCAGCAGCAGCAGCCGAGGGCGTGCATTTCGCTTCCTGGGGACTTCCCTCCCGTGGTAGTGTCTTTCCTGGAGGGGGTGTACCAGGTGCGTCTGCTGCAGCCGCAGCCGCAGCAGCAGGCGCAGCAGCAGCAGGTGCAGCAGCAGCAGTGTGCGCACCTGAGCAGGTCGGTGAGTTCTGCTGCTGCTGCTGCTGCTGCTGCTTTCGCTGGCGCGGCAGGGGGTGTGGGTCCCGCG